ACCTTCTCACCACCAGCTAAGTGATGCTTTGGTGCTTGTTAGAAAGTTCTGGTGATGAGGCATTCTGCCAAATGACTCTAACAGTCTGCTCAGGGAACCACATGATAGGATCCACCCTCTCTTCTTTCCTCAGGGTTTCAAGGACGCTATGTGCTGACCACTTCCCGATGGACTTGTGGTCAAAGGTGTTTTTCTTTGCAAATTTCTGTGAAGGATAGGTAGTATGGAACAGTCCAACTGCTTGGAGCGTTCCACAGCAGCAAGGCCGGCCCCTTCCCTTGCAACACCGGGGACAGGTAGAACCTCAGTATGTTGTGACACTTGGTGTTTGCATACCGAGGGTCTACACACAGCTTGATGCAGCAACACTGAAAGGTGGCCATCAGGGTGATGGCGATGTTGGGTACATTCTTCCCCAGCTTATCAGAGTTTTGTACATGGCATCCCTGCAGACACGGTCTATCTTCGGTTTCCACATGAAATGGAAGATGGCTCAGGTGACAGAACCAGCGTAGTTTTGAGGGATGGGCCAGACCTGCACCACATACAACAACAACAGAGAGAGTCCCTCACAGCTGATGACCAGGTTGTCATCTGCAATGGAGAATGAGAAGTGCTCCTAAAGCACCGGGTTTTGCTTCACTTTTGTGATGCACTCCTCCCAAGATTTTGTGCACACCCCAGGCCCTGCAAACCATATTCCCAGCACCCTCAGGTAATCTGGCCTGATGCGAGTGAATGAAGGATCTGCCTGCCCAGTTCCCAAAGAACATGGCTTCACTCTTAGAGATAGTAAGAACTGCCAGTGCTGGAGTCAGAGATAACACAGTGTGGAGCTGGAGGACCACAGCAAGCCAAGCAGCATCAGAGGTGCAGGAAAGCTGACGTTTCGGGTCGGGATGATTTTCTGAAGAAGGGTCCTGACGCGAAATATCAGCTTTCCTGCTCCTCTGATGCTGCCTGGCCTGCTGTGGTCCTCCAGCTCCACACTGTGTTATCCATGGCCTCGCTGTTGCCTCGATTTACCTTGGCTCCCAAGGCCAGTTCGAACTGGTCACAGATGCTCTTGATGGTGGATCCGAGCAGAAAACAGTGATGTCATCCATGGACAGGGAGGCTTTGACCTGCAGGCCACCGCTGCCTGTATTAGTCACCCCTCTCAGGCTCACATCCTTCCTGATGGACTCAGCAAAAGGCTCTATAAAACACACAGACAAGGCAGGAGACAGTAGGCAGCCCTACCTTACTCCGGATCTGAATGGGAAGCTTTTTGATTCCCACCCATTGATTGAGACTGCACTAACCATGTTGGCGTAGAGCAGTCGGATCCAATTGCAAATTCCCTCCCCAAAGCCCATTTCGGAGAGCATGTCCCACATGTATGTGTATGATATCCTTCAAAGGCCTTTTCCTGGTCCAAGCTGATAAAGCAGGTGTCCAGCCCCCTGTCCTGCAGTAGGCAATCATATCCCTGAGGACGATGAGGCTCTCTGAGATTGTCCTGCCTGGTACAGCACAGGTTTGGTCGGGGTCAATCATTGATCCCAGAGCAGATCTAACCCAGTTGGTGATGACCTTAGACAGGATTTTGTTGTCTGCATTCAGCAATGATATTGGTTTCCAGTTTATAATTTCCTCCCTCTCCACCTTCCACTTGTAGCTGAGGGTGATGATACATTTCCTCGTGGATTAGCACATGGTACCTTCCAGAAGCGTACTGTCGTACATCACCAGCAGGTCCTGGCCAATCAAGTCCCACAGAGCCGAATACAACTTGGCCAGTAAGCCATTACTTCTGGGAGTTTTATTCTTTTCTAAGGGCTCGAGGTCCTTGGTCAGCTCATCTATCCTTGGTCCAGCCTCTCCCGTGTGCTGTAGTCTAAGATCTCTGTGGTAGACGACAGGAACGACTGGGAGCCTGCACTGTTTGTGACCTTCATGTCATACAGTCTGGCATAAAAGGATTTGCTGATCCTCAGGATGTTAGACTGAGATGACGTTACTGAGCCATCTTCTTCCTTCAGGCTGCTGAGCACAGAGCTCTCCCAGTGCACCTTCTGGCAGAAGAAATGTGAGCACATCTCATCTTGCTCCATGGGTGTGGATCCTGGATCGGAAGATTATCTTAGAGGGCCCAAAGGCAATGAGTGATGCTTGCTGGCTGTTCACCTCCTGGAGATCCTCTGTGACATTGACCCCCGTCGTCTGCAGCAGGAGAAAGTTCTGCATGGTTTTCAGGAGTTTGGACAGTTTTGTTTACTTCTCTCTCACCTCTGAACACCTTTAAGGATAAAGAACCGCTTGATGTTCCCTTTGACTGCCTCCCACCAGTCTGCTGGAGACTCAAAGAGGGACTTCATGGTTCTCCATGTTCTTGTGTGATCCCTTTTGAGCTCCTCAATGTTTTCTGAGGTCAACACTTTCACATTCAGCTTCCACATTCCCTTTCCAGCCCACTAGTCATCCTGTAGGAGACAGTCAGCCAGCAGGATGCAGTGGTCAGAGAAAAACACTGACTTGATGTCGGTGGATCTGACCAAGAACGTGCAGGATGCGAACATGAAATCTATGCTTGAGCAGGTAGACCCCTCTGGCCATGACCAGGTGTATCTACGATTGTTAGTCACACTCAGAATGTGACACATTTGCATGTGCTGCAAACTATATCTTTTAATGCACAGTGCCCCATTGTATGCCAACATATATATACATACAGTGCCTTTTCAACTTAAAAGCAAGTGACTGCAATTCTGTAGTTCATTTCTTAGGAAATGCCTTGACCAGAGCCAGCTGGCTTTGTTTAAAATTTAAATAATCTTTGACAATCAGCTGGCATTAATGTTAATTCTCCATGGCAACGCCATGACCAACAGAGTCCACTTGCCAACCAATCAGTGCTCTCATCTCATACAGACCACATTTTAATGTTCCCTCCAATGCAACACCCCTCCGCAAAAAAATTCTTCACCATGCTCATCTCCAACAGTAAGTGCAAGGAGCTCATTTCACTATGATGGAGGGAACATCTGATTGGCTACCCTCTGTAGCTCTCTCCCTTTCAGGAATCCAGTGGGTCAAAATCCCAGAGCTCTGACTGCCCCTATTCCCGATCTCTCAATTCTTTTGTAGTTTCTGTCTTCTCTACACTCATGGTCACCTTGTGCATGAGATCCATTTCTACCAAACCATCATGACCTTATTCCTGTGAATTGCTGACCACCCAATTTCCTCTCCTGCTTCCCAAGTTAGCTAATATTTTCAATGTCCCCTCTTCAGGTCTGCCATCATTGTCCCTCACTTTAAATAAAACCTTGTTGCCCTTGCCTTTGCAGATTTTTCACCCATCCCCAACTTCCTTCTCCTCTCCGATGTTTTTGAGTACTGATTACTTCCCAAATCCATGACTGTTTTGCTTGGAAACCTAAATTTGACTCTCATCAAATGAGGTTGTTGTAATTCCCCCCCATGCCACCAACACAAAATGGGACTGAACAAGATCATTCACATAAAAAACAAAAGAACTGCAGATGCTGTAAATCAGGAACAAAAACAAAGTTGCTGGCAAAGCTCGGCAGGTCTGGTAGCATCTGTGGAGGAGAAAACAGAGTTAACGCTTCGGGTCCGGTGACCCTTCCTCAGACTATTCACATCCCTGGTGTCATAGTTAACCTTGAGGTGAACATCCAATCACATATCATGCCATCTTTAAGACAGCCTATGTGCTATTCCATGCTGGAACCCTCATCCATGTTTTTGTTATAGGCTCGATTTTTCCGAGTCACCTCTAACCAGCTTTCTGCTATGCACCATCCATAAACTTAAGGTCATCCAAAACTCCACTGTCAATGTCCTTACTTTCACCAAGTCCCATTTACCCATCACCTTTATATGCACTGTTTAACATTGGCTCCTAGATAAGCAATGCCTCAATTTTATAGAAATAGTAAGAACTGCCGTTGCTGGAGTCAGAGATAACACAATGTGGAGCTGGTGAACACAGCAGGTCAGGCAGCATCAGAGGAGTGGGAAAGTTAATGTTTCAGGTCAGGACGCTTCTTCAGAAATGGGGGCTTCGCAGTCGGGTTATAACTCACTCAGAGATAGTAAGAACTGCCAATGCTGGAGTCAGAGATAACACAGTGTGGAGCTGGAGGAACACAGCAGGCCAGGCAGCATCAGAGAAGCAGGAAAGTTGATGTTTCGGGTTGGGACCTTTCTTCAGGCTACTTGGCCTGCTGTGTTTCTCCAGCTCCACATTGTGTTGCCTCAATTTTATAATTCTCATTCATTTTAGTTAAACTCCTCCCTATCTTCCCATTCTACTCCAATCCCACATTCCTTGGAGATATTTGCACTGATGTAATTCTGGTGTTGAACACTCCCAATTTTAATTGCCCTACCATTGCTGGCTGTATCTGTAGCCTGTCTAAGCACTCAGTTGTGGCATTCTCTCCCTCAAGCATTTACCTCTCTTTGCTCCTTTAAGTAACTTCTGAAAATCTGTCTCTTTGACCACCTGCTCCAAAGCAGCAAATATGTCTCAGTGTCAAATTTTGGTTTATAGTGCTCCTATGGGCAATTTATTAATGTATTGACACAACTGGAATACAAATTATTGGTGCTGTTGATAAAACTTGCTAAATTTTTGTCACAAGCTGCAAACTCAACAGAATTAAAAACCGAAACAACTGCAGACACTGGAAATCAGAAACAAAAATAGAAATTGCTGGAAAAGTTCAGCAGGTCTGGCAGCATTTGTGGAGAGAAATTAGAGTTAACATTTTAGGTTGAGTGACCCTCAGAATTCATTGGTATGGAATTAAGAATTCTGATTTAACAGCTGAAAGCTGTCACAAGTCTAACTTTGTCTAAGCATGATATTGAATAGATTAAAGGAGTGGAAGCTGCAGAAATGTCATTTTGAATATTTACATCCTATCACTAATTCTTCTATTTAATTCTCTAACAGGACCTGGATATCATTTTTTCACACCATTGAGTGTTCTAGGTGGAAATGTAGATTACTGGCTGCATGTATTCTTACTCTGTCTTGTCCTGTTACCCATGGGGTTGATGTTTTGGTTGTTCCTGTTGATGGAAGTCATTGGATTAATATGAGAATATTAATAGAAGAACTGAAACTTCATGGACACAACATCACAGTGCTCCATTCCTCCACAGCTTGGTACACAAAGGAGATGTCTGATCTATATCGATCTATTACGGTTCAACTACGAGAATGCCTTGGCCAAAATAAAACTAAAAATTTGATACAAACATACCTACAAAAAACTTTGAGTGCCTTAAAGAATGGCTTGACATTATGGGCCTTTGTTCAGCTACGATATTGGCTTAGGAATGCTTTGTATTCATACCATCGTTGTGCTGGAGAGTTTACCAATGCAATTTTCAATAACAAAGCTGTTTTGAGGCAACTTGAAGATGCAAATTTTGACTTAGTACTTACTGATCCTGCTTTTGGTACCGGTCCAATACTTGCTTATTATTTAAAAATTCCTTTGGTGTACAATGTTCGATGGTTCATCAGTGGGGAAGCTCATTTTTTCTCTGCCCCATCACCACCTTCATATATCCCAATCACTGGATCACAATTTACAAGTAAAGTGGGTTTTCTGCAAAGAATACAAAATTTACTCCTAAATCTTCTTCAGTTAACTACTTCAAAATTTCTCATTCAGCCAATTTACAATGATCTCTGCCATCGCTATCCGGGCCCAGATATAGACATTGAAATTATTCTCCTCAGGGCAGATGTGTTGCTGATGAGAGTAGATTTTATATTTGAATTCCCGAGACCCACCATGCCAAATATTGTTTATATTGGAGGATTCCAGTGTAAACCATCCAAACCTTTACCTCTAGAGTTTGAAGAGTTTGTCCAGTCCTCAGGGGAACATGGGATTATTGTCATGTCACTGGGGAGCATTGTCAGCTCTTTGCCAATGCATATTACAATGCAAAAAGCAGAGGCCTTTGCTCAAGTACCTCAGAAAGTTATCTGGAGACATGACGGAAAGATCCCTCCCAATATTGGAAATAATACACTGCTGGCAAAATGGATTCCTCAGAATGACCTGCTAGGACACCCAAAGACACGAGCCTTTGTTGCTCACAGTGGCACCAATGGAGTTTACGAAGCCATCTATCATGGGGTGCCAGTAGTTGGCATACCTTTGATTTTTGATCAGTTTGATAACTTACTCAGACTTGAAATCCGAGGTGCAGCAAAAGTGATTAACGTTGCAACCATGCAGTCAACGGATCTATTGCAGGCACTGAATGAGGTTATACATAACACCTCTTATCGGGAGAATATGCAGAAACTCTCTGCTCTCCACAGAGACCAACCTGAGACTCCGATGGAGAGAGGTATTTTCTGAATTGAGTATGTTGCTCGACACAAAGGGGCTGCACATTTACACTCAGAGTCTTACTGACTCCCCTGGTATGTTTACTATTGTGTGGATGTGATGATCTTCCTGTTGTCACAGTTCCTCATAGTTACAGTGCTGACAGTTGTACTGTTGAGGAAACTTTGTAGCACTGTTCAAAACAGTAAACAAAAAATTCAGTAATGTTGATTCTTTCAAATTGGAAGAGGGGCTTTGAGTTCTTCCAATTTTACAATAAGAGAGTTTAAATGTAGAAGGAAAATTTCCTTTCTAGGGACTGTATCATGAATTTTAACAATGATCAGTATTCGAATCTCACAGTGCTTCAGTCAAAAATAGTCTTTTTGTGCAGATATGGACATGGCCAAGCCACACGTAAATTTTACAGGGAACAACAACATGTTTTTCCACATATTGTACACAATTAACCATCATATTCATTCACAAGTGGTGAAGAATATAAATAAGAATATAAAACATCTTGGAATCACTGGCAGTGCCAGCCACTCCACCTACTCCCACCTGCTTTCAAAAACTCATGATTTCCACGACAACTCATTGTCAGCTTTTGTCGGCACTTTTGGTTCCTTTTACCATATGTTCCATTGGTTTGAATGATGTACTGGGAAGTTAGTGAGCCATGCCATATCATGGAAAATATTTCCAGAACTGCTACATGGTTCAATTGGTATTTAGCTGGCTTAATATTTCTTTGTTGCTCAAGTACTGTATACCCTTACCACCTTGACATTGCTAATTATAGTCATGGAAATTAATAAAGAATTGTTGCAGTATGATTTGTTTTTCTGTCTTTCATGATTGTAGCATACAGAGGTTGACTTTTCCACACATGCATCCTAATGTTTCCATTGCACCTAGAAAGTTACAGCACAGAGAGAGGCCATTCATTCTTTTGTGTCAGTGCTGGCTGAATAAACTGCTGCCCATTCTAATCCCATTTACTAGCTCTTGACCTGTGGCCTTGTAGGTTATAGTGCTTCAGGTGCAGATCCAGGTTCCTCCTCAATGGGTTGATGTTTCCACATTAACATTCAAACTGGGCATCAAATTCCAGCTACCCATTACATTCTGAGTGAAAGAGATATTGCTCACATCCCCTCTCGTCCTTCTACCAATCACCTTAAATCTGTGTCCCCTGGTTCTTCTGCATCCACTGAATACAAGCCCCCCCCCCATTATTTTGGTACATCTCAATAAAGTCACCCCTCAGCCTCCCCATCTTTCCTCATAGCTGCAATTTTAAACTCTGGCAATATTCTTGTACATCTCCTCTGCATTGTCTCTAGAGAAATTATGTCCTTCCTGTTTTGTGGGAACCAGAACTGTACTCAATATGCCAGCTGTGGCCTAAACTGTGTCTTATATAGTTCCAGCATTACATCCCTGCTCTTGTCAGCAATACTTTCCCCAATAAATAAAAGCAACCCATGCACCTTCTTTACCATCTGACTTTGATAGTGTAATTTGGACCAGTTTAAGACAGTTCAGTTTTGTGCGATGCACAAACAGAAGCAACGTACAATAAAGGATGTAATTCTGGTGCCTTAATTGTGATTGACGTAGTCAAAGTGTAGATGTGACATGAGATGGCAAGGTCGAAAGAGTGGTTGTGCATATGGGATAAGGGAATTTGTACCAATGGATAGACTAAGGAGGGCAGTCAATTCCAAGGAGAAAGATGAATTGAGATAGAAATTGAAATTACTCACCGAAGATGAGAATTTACAATGTAAGAGGCCAAGGGAGGAAAGTAGTGAAACTACCTCAGTAAGCAATTTGACATGGTCCTTCAGTGCAACAGCAATTTTTATAGGTGAGGGAGGTGCTGTGAGGTGGGATGCAGAATATATGAACAGAAAGCAGCAGGAAGGTAGTGGGACAGATCAAGGCATACCTTGGTGATAAAAGCCACATCAGCAGCAGCCTATCTGAATACAGGCAGTCCCCAGGTTGTGAATAGGTTCCATTCTTGAGTCTGTTCACAAGTCAATTTGTACGCAAGTTGGAACACAATGCAGGATGCAATAAAGTAGTTCATAAATATAGGAAATGTTCGTATGTTAGGTCCTTAAAACTACACCTATGTATGGGATAGCATTCATAGGTATGAGCATTTGAAAGTCAGACGTTTGTCGATTGAGGACCCCTGAACAGTACAAGGCTTAATCAGGCAAAAGTGTTTCATGTTGGATGACTGGGACATCACACATCAGCCAAATTTCTGAACTAGATGCTTTTCAGATGGATGTTTCCTTTCATGGGGGAGCCTGGAACCCTGAGGAGGATTGTTGGAATCCGAATCATTGTAGGCCTTTCAGACAATGCCAACAGAAGCACTAGGAAAGTGGCAGGCTTAAACAAATCAGTTAAGACTGGGAGGACAACAAGGGAATAGGTAGATTGAGGAATGCTGAAGGGTTGGTCAGTGGATTTTGGAGAAATCTAAACTTCTTAGGAGATGGATCTGTCACCAGATCTTACCCAACAAATAATATTTATCCCAGCAGAACTCAATTTTTCGATTAAAATTGTCAGAACAGACAAGTTCAAAAATTTCCTTTATCTACTTACAGTTTTATAACAAATAACAATTGGTCTTAGATAGAATGTAAACCAAGATGAATCCAGAAATCCAGTTGGCCATGTGATTTTCTTTTGGTTCTAATTCAGCTGGAACCTCTTCCTGTACCAAACATGACCATTCAGATACTAAATAAAAACTGAAAGAGCTGCGGATGCCGTAAATCAGGAACAAAAACATTCAGATGAACTGCAAACAAAAAGTGCTGGAGATCACAGCAGGTCAGGCAGAATCCATGCAGAGAAAGCAAGCTAACATTTAGACTCTTTCTGATGAAGAGTCATCTAGACTTGAAACGTTAGCTTGCTTTCTCTCCATGGATGCTGCCTGACCTGTTGTGATCTCCAGCATTTTTTGTTTTCAGTACAGATTCCAGTATCAGCAGTAATTTGCTCCTACACGACTTTTTAGATGGTATGTGCCAGGGAACCCTGGAATATACAATGATCCATCCTCCTTTTGTGATGAAACTATGGCTTTAGGAGATGCATTTTATCCTGCTTTTGTTTAATGGAGAAACATTGAGACAGAGTTGTCAAGCAGCATGCTTCAAAGCCATTAAAGTAAATGTCTTGTGAGGCCTTGGTTTCTTTTTTAAAGTTGGAACAATAGCAGCAGCATAAATCAAAAGCCCACAGAACCAGGATTTCCTCTCGTTTTAGCTTTCAGAAGCAGTTGCTGCTAGGGTCTTGAAGCTGGATGTGGAAGTTTTTATACCTCTCTCTGTTACAGCTAAAAGCAGGGGTTCTCTTTCTGCTGCGAGATTTGCATGTCGGACAATCTATTTTACTGACTTTGCCTTTGTCAAGGGTGTGCTTATGGGATCTTACTACATTGGAACAGTTACTGTTTACTCATTAAGTAATCTATTATTCTGTAACATTTTCCAATAAAGTTAAGTTATTCCAATTCTTTTGTTGCATTTTAAATATAGTGCATGAATAAAGTGTGCTTTGCTTCAAGGTTGGTAGTTTGACTAATCAAATTGCATCTGGAATGCAACACCTGGAACTTTCCTTTAAAATAGGGAAAAAGTTAGGGCCTAGGCTATCTTCATCATATATTTTAAGGACTTTGGCCTGGTCCATAACACTTTCTGCAGAAAACAAAGTTCCTGGCTTGAACCAAAGGATCCTGGCCAGAATTTTTAACGTCACTCAATAAAAACAACTTCCTGCAGTTCTGTAAAATCAATTTTAAATAAATTAACCAACTGAACAAGGGCCATCCACAACAGTACCAACTGCCTCTGGCTCAACTTCAAAGATATTCAGTTTTATTTCCACTGACACCCTATACTATCTTGATAATGATCTTAAAACCAAACCTTAATCCCAACAAGGAGGCTGATGAAACCCTAATCCAAAAATGGATCAGAACAATATCAATTCAGCTCCTGACCTTAGCCTGAACTAGAACATCTTACCTTTAATTTGATCCCATATTAATGTAATCTATCCCTAGTCCCTGCTCTAAATGATAACACAATTGGGGATCCGCACACCAAATGCCATTGTTTATGACAGGGCACTCTCCAGCCAGAGGCACAGACAGATATTCCTGTGGCTGACAGCAAGACATTAGAATGCTGTATTGCCTCCCTGGAGCTAGGAACAAGGATATTTCAGAGAGGGTGTAAAATATTGACAAAGGAGATTGGGACCAGCAGGAGGTTATTGTACACATTGGAACTAATGACATAGGAAGAGAAAAAGATGATATTCTGAGGAGAGAATATAGGAAAGTTGGGCAGGAATTTAAAATGCAGGTCCTCGAGAGTAATAATATCTGGATTACTCATGGTGACACGAGCAAGTGAGGGTTGGAATAGGAGGACAGAGCAGATGAATGCATGGCTGAGGAGCTGGTGCAGGGGAGAAGAATTCATATTTTTGCATCAATGGAATTTCTTCTGGGGTAGAAGTGACCTGTATAAGAAGGATGGATTACACCTGATTTGGAGGGGACTAATATACTGGCAGGGAGATTTGCTAGAGCTGCTCGTAACGGGGGAGTTGGGTACCAGAGGAGATAGTGAGAAAAGAGATTAGGCTAAGACTGGTACAGTTGGAAAAGGAGCAAGTCAAATAGTCAGGGCAGGCTGGAACAAAGCAGAGAATGAGGTAGGACTGATAAACTGCATTTATTTTAATGCAAGAGACCAAACAGGAAAGGCAGATAAACTCAGGGCACAGTTGGGAACATGGGACTGGGATATCACAGCAATTACAGTGACGTGGCTCAGGGATGGACAGGACTGGCAGCTTAATGCTCCAAGGTTTAGATGCTATAGGAAGGATAGAAAAGGGTCAAGAGAGGAGGAAGAATGGTGATTTTGAATTAGGGATAACATTACAGCTATACTTAGGGAGGATATGCCTGGGAATAATGCCAGCGAAATTATTTGGGTGGAATTGAGAAATAAGAAAGGGATGATCAGCTTAATGGGATTGTATTACAGTTCCCCCCAATAGTAAGCACAAAATTGAGAAACAAATTTGTAAGGAATGGTTATTGTGGGGGCTCTTAAATTTCCAAACATAGACTGGGACTGCCATAGTGTTAAGGGCTTGGATGGAAA